TGGACTATGCGTTTTGGGTAACGGTATAGATGATGGTTCGTGAATTCGAGGGTTGGGCCACGTTCTGGACCCGACCCACACTAGGACACAACCCATTACCAGGTCCGGTTAGAAATATAAATAATTATAAATATAGAAGTAATGTTATATACTAATAACTAAATGTTATATATTGTTTATATATAATATATTTATATATATTGGGTCTAGTTCACCTTGACCTGGACCAATTTTACCTAACTTGACGAGGCTTAGGCCAGACCTAAGCTGTTGGGTTCAAAATTTGGTTCTACACCTGGACTCAAGTGGGTCGACCCAACTTGCTTGTGTACATTAGGTCAGGTTCAACCCGACCCAAACCGAGTGACCTAATATGGCCTAGGCTTAATCCAACCCATTGGTCCAAAATTTGGTTTCAAACCCAGACTAATGTGGGGTCGACCAAACTTGTCTGCCACCTCTAGTTCTTTAGCAACAAAGTATAAATATGAGCATTAGGGTTGTAGAGACCCAATTTGAAATTGACTAATTTTTTTTTTAAAAAAAGTTTATATAAGGATGCTACCTTATAATGTAGAACTGTATAAGCCCCTCAAAAATCCATAGGAAAAAGTAGTTTTAACGTTGAAAAACCCTTTGATTGATCATCTCGACATCGAGATGTCTGACCATGAAAAATAAAAAGATTTTAATCTCAGAAATAGTGCATTTTACAATATATTATCTACACTGTCCATTTTCAAGATTTTCATATGTTTATAGATCTACTTGATTTTAACTATTTTTTAAATTTAAAATTTTATAATTAGATATAAAAATAGATTTTGAGATAATCCTAAGAACACTGTACAGCAAAATTATATAGCATGATAAAATTTGAAGGTGCACCTTATCTCTACACCTACGGATGCATCCGTATGCAAACTGTACCTTTTTTTTATAATTCTCAAACCTGTTAATTCCCAAAAACCTATAACCTGAACTATAGGAACTATATTAGCCTATTACAACACAGCTTAGTCCTACCTTGGTCCAATGATGCGAGGAGCGTCATCAAAACCAGAGGGTCTGATGAAGCGATTCGCAAATTGTTGGGTAGATGAGGCATTATTTATGGATACTTTTTATAATGTGAAAAGTTGATAACACGAGTATTTTCAAAGAAAAATTAAAAAAGAAATTGAACACTCAGACACTTGCTGGATTCAAATCACTTCAAAAGATGCATTTGGGGAGATAACTGGTGGATTTGAAAGGGAACTTTTTACTCCGCAAATGGTTTTGGTGGTTCCATATTTATGCATTTCCTTTCAAAAATTCACATTGAGATAGATTTTGGATTTAAAATCTCACATAATAATCATCTCAACCGATCGATCATGAGTATGAACAAAAATAGGACTCAAATATAAAAAAGAAAAGGAAAAAGTTTATATAAAACTGAGGATCTAAACGATCAAATTGGAGCCCACCTCAAAAATTTCATTAGAAGATGTTGTTTTGATACCCAAATATTTTCAAACTGATCATCTTGACATCAAGATGCATGGACATAGAAAACAACATATTTCAAGTTTTGGAAGTAGTGCATCTTGTAACGCATTTTTTGACTGTCAATTTTCAATATTTTCAAGTTTTTGTAGGTATGTTCAATCTACAATATTTTCTGAGCTTTAAATTTTATAATTAAAGATGAAAATATATTTTAAGGCTATCACAAAGATTTCTAGTGTGGAAACTACATTTCTCGACACTATTTGAAGGTGCACTTTACTTTAATTGTTTAGAGCCTCGGCTCTATACAAACCGCACCCAAAAGAAAATAGTTTCACAATAACTAAAATGAATAATCCAAAAATGGTCAAAGTTAAATTAAACTATCTATTTTAATATAGATGAAGTTTCTATAAGGCCTAGGCATTATGAAAACAAAATACAGCCTCACCTCAAATCCTTGTTTGGAAAGCACTTTTGGTAATGAAAATCTCCACGATGGCTCTAAAATCAAATTTCAACACCAACAATAAAACTTAAAACTAAAAAAATAGTACAAATCTTACGGTTCTATGAACACTTACATTTAGGGTGATAGCCTAGATAATTTGTTGCAATAGACACTATTTTAAGATATTTAAAACATTTGTTTTTCACAAACATAATGTTCAAGCTCATATGAAGGTTTTTCAATTCTTGAATTACAATTTTCAATGACTTATGAGGTGAGATTTTACTTATTGTAATAGGGCTGCAACCCTATCAAACATCTTCCTATATATAAAAAGGGTGAGGTTGGTATAAGGTGTCAACTTTAAACAATCACGGTCAGGCGCACCTTAAAATCTCATTAAAAGATGTATTTTTTGTACCAAAACTCTTATCATGGCCTAAAAGTCTATTTTTCATCTCTATAAAGAAATTGAAAGATATAAAAATGATGCAAATCTAACAAATCTATGATCACTAAAAAATCTTGAAAATAAATGGTCTAGATAATGCACTATTTTTAGTACTTTAATTTTATTTTTCTTTTATATTCATATATATATATATCGAGGTCAAATGATTAATTGAAGACGAAACAACATTTTTCGATAGTTTTTTAGATGCACATTACTTCGTATTCTTACATAATAAGGTTGACAAAAAAACAAAATAACCTTTGACTTTGGGTCTAGGTCCATGAAATTGAAAGAAAGGGAATTTATGCCCCAAACAAGTGCCACGAGTTCCCGCAAAAAGGCATAGATTCAATAACAAAAGCGGTTGTATTTTTTTCTTCGAGAATATTTATGAGGCGTGGCTCTCGTCCCGCCTCTACGTCTAACCCAAACGTAACCATGCCCACATTACCCCCTCTTTTCCTTAGAAGCCCTCAGCTTGTTTTAATAGTCAGAAATGTCCCTCTTATGCTCAATGAATGAACCACATAGGTTGGGCTAAAAAGAAAGAAATAAAAATAAAAAAAAATAATGAGAGAATTAAATAGTAGCTTAGCTTATGAATTGGGGCTTTGGCCTTTTGGGATGGCAGTCGGGTTGAGTCAATCAGCTGACCCAATGGGTCGGCCTGAGCTGGGTCCAAGCTCCAGACCACACCGGTGTGGATCTGGACCCTAATCCTAGCATTAGGAGCGGTGTGGATCTGGACCCTAATCCTAGCATTAGGAGCTTCATGGGAGCAGCTGGTATGAACATTGGGATAGAGAAGCGTTGTTTTGATGAGAAGATGATATGTACACAAAATGGACCTCAAAGAACTCATGTTTTCCTTAAGAAAATGTCTCTTTTGGGATGGTAAAATAATCTATGAGAAGCAATTAAGCCTGACCCAATAAGAGAACTAGAAAATCTACATCTCATTCTCCTACTTATTTTTTTACAACAAATTGGATGATCTTACCTGTAAGGAAGAAATTTGAATTAGTATTACTTTTATATTTAATTAATTTACAAGATATAGGGACATATTTGAAAGTTACAGCCTTTCTATTGTTAAGTTTTAGGGAAGATTTTAATTTCAATATACCCATATAAAAGCCCATGATCATGAGTTGGAACACTATCAGAAGTCTAAAATAGTTAATAGTGTACCTTTTATGGCTATTTCGATAAATTTTCCTTAAATTTGTTCAAGGGCAAGGCATCTAGTATTTGTTTAGAGACATGAAACCATGGACTGAGATCAAAAGCTCAAAACTAAGCTAAGAATATTGTTATTTTTTTTAAAATAATGATGCTAGACATTAATTATTGTGACTTGACAAATACAATTAATATGCAAACTTATGACATTATTATATCTAAAAACACATGCCCATCAACATGCAGAACATGTTCCTCTTTCTTATTCAAGGGTGAATATGTCATTCAAGATAATCAATAGCTTTCTACATGTCTCTACGCATATATAAATTATGCATAAGTTCATCTAAAGTCTGGGAAAGAGCTAATAACTATTGCTTACGTTGACACCAAATATACTTACAGGTTATAATTACTATGTAATATGATTGGTATTATTGTTTGCTTATTCACAACTATATGTTATTGATCGAAAGATTGGATGATCATATGTATCATTCGAAAGACAACAAGTAAAGCTTGTAAATCATGCATTTGGATAACTATGTCTGTCCAATTTTTATTAAATGAATGGGAGAGAGTTGATAACTATTGCATAGGTTGACACTATGACATCAAAGGTGCTCACCAGGACATCATTATTAGCTCATTCTCAACCGTCTATTAGTCATCAAACGGTTGGATATCTACGCATGTATATAAATTATGTATGTGGAGGGAAACATGGAAATCCTTCCTACATGCTCCTTTTCATACATCATAAGTATACTGAAGAAATAATATTTTTGTAGGGAAATGAACATTAGTTTTAGTCGTATTTTTTTGAGAAATGAATCAAGAAGCATATATGCTAGCAAAAATCAAAGTGGTGCAAAAAAATAATTTGTTATCAATATCCGATTCCTACAACTGAACTAACCAAACAAGAAAGAACTAAGGCCCCAACCTCAAAAAAAAAAATTAAAAAAATCCTCACAAGCTGCAATTGGTGCAGCAGCTAGTGATTTATTTTCATGTACTCATGACCTTGTAGAAGTGATAAAAATAGTTCAGTTAATTAAAAAAAAAGGACAAAAAAAAAAGAGAGGCTAGGGGTATCTGAGTCATAAGTTTAAAATATTGGGGTGTAAGAGGTTCCCTCTCTCAAAATCAAGTAATACCAGCCCATATAGTGTAGCATTTTTCCACTTCCCCAGACTTTCTGGCATCTTCACTGTTTCTCTCTCTAATTTCATCATTTGGCATCACCACTCTCTCTCTCTCTCTCTCTCTCTCTCTCTCTCTAACATTTGGCTCGTGTATTATAATGTATCTCTAGTTCCGGAGGTCTTTTAAGTGTGATCTCTGTATCTGACTATTTACTTTTGCGAGTTTATTCATACTTTCTCTCTCTAACTGCGGAGGTAAAAGTTGCAGAAGATGTGGCGTTGCGTCTCTGGTGCCCTTCGCCTTGCTCATGCAAAGGGATCAATCTCTAATGGACCTATTCAAACTCTACTCTCCCGATCTCTTTCGTCATCTTCTACCACGGTAATGTTTTTTTTATTTTTTATTTACCCTCCATTTTAGGGCCATTTTGTTCAATTATTTTAAGGTCTCAGCTCTCGACGACAACCAGAAGAAACAGTTAATGAACATTTGATTATTTTTATTTATTTATCTTTTAAACATAGTTGATCCTGAAATTTCTGTGTGATTCGGTTCATTCCCCTTTCGTTTTCATTCAATCTATGGCCCAACTATGATTTTCTCTGATACTCATCAATAAAAGGGAACTGCGATTTCCTCTGTTGGGTTTTTGTTTGAGCTTGTAAGAGTTTAGCTAAGGCAATCCTTTGATTATGTTTAGGGCTCAAAATATCCAAATTTTCTGTATTTTTAGATTCATTTACTGAATTTTGTTGCTGTTATCTGCTAGGATTTAGATTAAAATTAGAGTGAATTCTATGTGAGGGATAGTAAATATTGCATTTAGGGTTTGGATTGTCATTACGCTTTTCATGCCCATTTTCTGTAGATTTCACCCCTTCTCTGTGATGTTGGTCTCCATTTAGTGTACAAATTTAATTTTTTAACTCCTTTACAATGCAGTCAAGCTTTTGATTAGTTGATCTTTCTTGCTTTCTGCTTCACATTTCTCACAATCTTAGTATCGTATACTCCATGTACTTGTTGCCTGTGTTCAGAATTTGATCATAGTCTGTTAAGTGTAGGGTTCTTACACAATCGTGGATCACACATATGATGCGGTCGTGGTAGGAGCAGGTGGTGCAGGGCTTAGAGCGGCCATTGGACTTTCAGAGCATGGCTTTAACACTGCCTGTATTACCAAGCTTTTCCCTACACGTTCTCATACTGTTGCTGCTCAGGTGAGCTGAGTTTTAAAGGCCATTATTGTTTTTGATTATTTGCAGTTGTTGACCTTTATTGAAAGTTAGAGCTTCACTGAAATTGGTAGTTATTGAAACTATGATGGTTCTCTTGTGAATGATGTGTTGCTTACTGAAATTGAGAATACACCAACTATCAAAAAAAAAATGGTGCAGTTGGCATACGGATGCACCCGTAGCTGTAGAGGCAAGGTGCACGTTCAAATTTTATCATGGTATATAATTTTGATGTAAGATGTTCTTAGGAATATCTCAAAATCTATTTTTATATCTGATTATAAAATTTTAAATTTCAAAAATGGTTAAAATCAAGTAGATCTATAAACATATGAAAATCTTGAAAATGGACGGTGTAGATAATATGTTGTAAAATGCACTATTTCTGAGACTTAAAATATTTTTATTTTTCATGGTCGTACATCTCGATGTCAAGATGATCAATCAAAGGGGTTTTCAACATTAAAACTACCTTTTCCGGTGGATTTTGAGGTGCATCCGTAGTTCTACATTATAAGGTTGCATCCTTATATAAACTTTTTCCAAAAAAAAAAGGGAGAAAAACCTTACAAAAATGAAGTACAATGTGCTACATTTATTTGTTCTATGCGACTCACTTATTGCATTTCTGAACTGCCTATATGGGTATTGGGGTTTGAGGATTTATGCATAGGAACTATTATTCTATAGAAGTGAAAGTCCTCGCCATTTTGCTTCATGAAGATGTGCATGTTTTTGAAATTTTAAGTGGACATTTGTTGGCTTGGCTGAAAGCAGTGTTGAAAAATTTGTTGGTCCAACATCGAATCTCCCGAGTCAGCTAAATTGCGACCCTATCATGTCCGGATGCAAAACCTATAGACTTTCCCCGAGTCCCACCTCATTTTAAAAGAACTTTGTTGAATTTTTTACAGACTCGTATGAGTCTTGATTTGACTCGTCAAAGTCAACCGAGGTGACTCGGGTTCAGGACTCTAGCAAATAACTACTTGAGTCCTAATTTTTAAACACTAAATTAATAATCATGCTTGGTGGCACTTGGCTTGTACTACTTCACATGAAGGACATTGGTGTTCTATTTATTCAGTTTAATTTTCTTTAGCTTTTCTAAATTTCTATACTTATATACAAGGTAAGTCAATTAGATAATAAATACTAAAATACATGCATGTATAATATACATATTAATGTTAATGTAGATATGCTGTGAAATTATTAAATATCTAACAAATGTAGGCAAGTCGGGATATGAAGAGTGAATCTTGTTAACGAAAATGGTAGATATAGATTTTGAAGCTTGTAATTTGAAATATTGACAACTAATCTGGCTTCGGAATCTTCACACAATAATTAATAGAAAGCCTCTTTTTTTTTAATACTTGGTAGTTTTTCCAAACCTGTCACAAAATAATTGAAATCAAATACTAGGACTGTGGGATTATTTTTTTAAGTACTTCAATAAATTGAAACTGCACAATATTTCTAAAATAACAATAAGATGACGTAATTAGAGGAATTACATGCTAAAATTTGTCCTGGAATTTCAATAAATAGAAAGTACGAAAAAGCACTTATCGACTAAAAACAAAAGGCATACTAGAGGAAATGCAGCCTAAAATTTTCCTGACAACCTAGGAATGCAAATAAGTGTTGATAACTTGATCCACCACATCTCAAATATATCTTTATTTCTTGTATGCATCTGGTGTAAATGTTTTTTAGCATGTTTGAGGCAATGTGCTCGAAACCCTACCGAAGCTGAGTGACTTAGGCGAGTCGATTCGGACTTGCCTGAGTCATGTCCAACAGTTTGAGCCATGGAAAGGCCCAAAGAAGCCCAAAAAAGGGGGGGAAAAACCCCAAAAATCTGAAACATATCTCTTCATCATTAAAGCCTTTTCTCAACTAATTAGGGTTGGCTACACGAATCATGGTCTACCATTTTTCTCTATTAAGGGTTATATCCTCAGTGAAGCCATAAGTCCCCATATCTTTTCTCACTGCTTCCAACCATGTCCTTTTGGGCCTACCCTTGCCTTGTTTGAGCCTTCCACTTGAACTAACCTGCACCTCCTAACAGGTGTTGTACTGGGTTTGTGCCACACATGACTAGCCCACTAAGTCTACTTTCTCTCATCTTATCGCATATTGCTGCCACACCTAAATTCTCCCGAATGTATCCATTTCAAAGTCTATCCCTTCTTGTCTTTCCACTCATCCATCGCAACTTCCCCATCTCAACTACATTCATTCTATGGGTATGTTGCTTTTTGGCTACCCAATATTCTACCCATAAAGTAAAGCTGGTCTCACAGTTGTCCTATAGAACTTGTCCTTCAGCTTTGATGGCTAAAAATAAAAAATTGGTACAAACGCAAAAAACAAACCATGTAAAATTTATGTAAAACATGGAAAATGATGGCAATTCATGTTATTTGCAAAAATTATCAAAGAAGTGATGAAAAATTGAAAGAAATCTTTCTATGCACAATAAAAAAAAAAGAATCTTACTCATTTTCTTGATAAAATGCTTCAAGAGTGAAGAACATAAATATTACTATACTGAGTGATACTAGTAGAAATAAATCAAATGTATGAATTTCAATTGAAAAGGAAATGAAATTTATCACAAAATTTGGAAGCTGATCCCCCAAGCTTCATGTTTGGTATGAATAGATGTCTCCAATACTTGTCAAACCATCCTCAGACAACCCAAATGATAACCCAAACCAATTTGGGGTATCAGGTTCGGATTTAGGAAATCTGAGCTCTTGAAAATTTTTGATGAATAGTAAATCTTTCAAATCCTAACTTTTTGTTTTTTTCTTCTTTTTTTTAGAAAAACAAGCCTATGATTGGATGAATCATCATTCATCATCTGAGCATTATACCAACCATTTGGGGTCGGTTACATAAATCCTATTTTGCTGTTCCGTTCTATCAAGGGCTATATCCTCTGTCACGCTAAGGGTCATCATATCTCTTGTCACTACTTCCATCCATGTTCTTTTGGGCCTTCCCCTTACTCTTTTAGAGGATTAGATGAATAACCCCAAACAAAGGCTTAGGGATCAAATGCAATAAAAATTGACCAAAAATTGTGAAGAAATCGCAATTTTCTGAAGCAAGGCAAACCCTTGGCAGAAATTTTTAATCTAAAAAATTGTGTACAATCTTATTCCCCCCCCCCCCTCAAATCTAATATTTCTAATAGATAGATCGTTGTAAAACCATGCTAAAGAGTAAATTTTGGCTCAAACCACACACCCTAGGGCCGTCAATCAAAGAAATTTGTCCCCCTTTTAAACTGAGAAATCTACAGTGCTCCGAGCACTGCAGAAATTAGCCTGAGTATTGTGTAACTCATGCAGGTTGTACAGTACTTGCCCGAGAACTATACTGGGTTCACTTAGGTACCCTATTCTGGCCTTAGCAGCCCCCTGAAGCCGAGCTACAACCCCTAGTCTGGGTCGACTGGCGCGAGCTTTTGAACACTAGTTGTACACATTATCATTATCATTTTTTATTGTTGATGTTTTACTTTTTTTTTTCGTGCTGGTGGTGTTGTTACATTGTTGTTTGCATAATTGCATATGTTATTTTTGTGTTGACAAGGGTTGTAAATCATCTTGTTAGGTGGGATGTTATGTTTATGTCTATTAATATATTTGTGGTGTGGGGAACTTATTTGTTAGATTCTTTCTTATGTACTACAATTAAGCTAGATTTGGCCATCATATGTACTGAACAGAAGTAGTATGCCAGTTAAAAGATAACCATTTCTAGACGTGTTTTGGCAGCTCTCTAAATATATTATATGCAGGGTGGAATTAATGCAGCATTGGGGAATATGACTGAGGATGATTGGAGGTGGCATATGTATGACACTGTCAAAGGAAGTGATTGGTTAGGTGAGCTTTTCTCAGTTTTCTTTTGTAGTTGCATGGTAAAAGTTGCCTTCTAAATATTGAATTAGCAGCATTACTTTTAATCTTGGTTTCTGATTTCTTGGAGCATCTCCTAGAAAGATGTTTTATGCTTGAATATATATGAAGTAGATATGGGATCATGGAGAGTTCGTTGGATTCCTGTTGGACAGTGTAAACTTTGTGGAACTGTTCTACTAAATTGAAATTTACTTCAACATTTTGGGTGACAAAAAATGAAGTCTTTATTGAAATGACTATCGGCCACCCGTAAACATCACAATTGTTAAATCTCTTTGGAGTCTGAGCAGTTGTCCCAATCTCATGAATATGGTTGTAACTAGAAAGGTCTCATCATGATAGTCTACCACTATCCTTGGTGTCTTAAGAACCTAGGTCTGGTTTGTGGTTCTCACTTTGTAGACATTTAATGTGCAAAATTATGCTCGAGTCATGTAGGTGATCAAGATGCTATTCAGTATATGTGTAGAGAGGCGCCTAAAGCAGTCATAGAGCTAGAAAATTATGGATTGCCATTTTCACGAACCGATGAAGGAAAAATTTATCAACGTGCATTTGGTGGTCAAAGCTTGAATTTTGGGAAAGGTATGGTTTTTCATTTAGAATGTGGGTTTCCATATTCATCTGCAACATTTCTGTATGTTACAGATTAATTGTTTTGAATAATGCAGGTGGACAGGCCTACCGTTGTGCATGTGCTGCTGATCGAACCGGTCATGCTTTGCTTCATACATTGTATGGGCAGGCAATGAAACATAACACACAATTTTTTGTGGAATACTTTGCATTGGATCTTCTTATGGATAGTGATGGTGAGTCAATAACTGAACTCCTACATTTAGAAACTAGCAAATCTAGTTCTTCTTGTATGTCTTGTGGTGTCGCTTATCCCTAATGGCATTAATTGGTTCTTTCCAGATTTTGGGGCTATTTTGTTGTAATCAAGGTTTGAAAATTCAGCGATCATGATCGGAATTGCCCGATCCTTATCGGGAATCGTCGAAGCCAGTCCAGTTCCCGTCATATATTAGGAACCGGCCAGGTCCCCCCCTGAACCGGCCGGTTTTGTTAGAAACTCGCCGGATCTGTTAGAGCAGAACCAGATGGTTCTGACCTGAATCGGTTTGATAGGGGGAATTTTCGTACATGCATTTTTTAAAAACAGTTTTAAGGGGGGAGTTTTTTGAACATACTGTTTTGAATTTTTTTTTAAAGAGAGGCGGGAGAGCCCACCCCATATTATATAGCATATTTTTCAAATGGGGCCCAGCCACTAATTGGCCTCAACCACTCATGCGTGCGTGCTGCTGAAGTGGAAATGATACCAACCACGTGAGCCTTAAGCACTTTAAAAGAGCCTTTGGCTCCTTTCACTCCCCGATGCGGCGGGACATTTCTCCATCTTCTTCACTTTACGAAATGAATAGCGATGAATTAAAATGTGCGACAGAGTTTTGAGGACTTTTGAGATTAGGAAAATTAAAATGTGAGACTACTATCATTGAACTAAAATTGACATTAGGAAAATAGTGGTTTTTGGAAATTTTTAAAATAATTTTTTGAAATAGCAATTTTAAAAGAATTTAAAGTTCTTGAATTGAATTTTTAAAATTTTAATAGAATTCATTAAAATTCTTTACTGTATGGACAATTTGTTGAAGTTCATTTCTATTTATTTATTTTCCTAATTTCACTTAAATGTGATTGCAAATTCATGTTTCTAAATTCCATATTTTTACCGTATTAATTAGTACACCTTACATCTATTTATTTGGCAACATATACTTTTTGCTTGCTAAATCTCATGTAGTGGAGAGGATTTTTTTTTTAATCGTTACCATGTGGCGAGACTTTTGGAAATGATTCTAACTATTATGAAGTTTGAGATTGTTTAAAAAAAAACAGTGTAAAAAAAAAGAAAAGAAATGTTTAGAATAACAAAAGCATCTATGGTAAGAAAGCAGAAATGGAGGGTTATAGGTTTTTTCGATTGTCATTTTGGTTTAATAAAAACACATGAGCTCATTGTGATGGTCATAGTTTTTTTTCCCTCAATTTAATCAAAAGGTCCAAAACTTATGTAGGATTCATTTTTTTTTATTCACTATAAAAATTTGAGTTAGAGACATCCATTTTATTGCAGCAAGTTGCATTGTAAATCTTTAATTGGCCATAAAATAAATGTAATGGATAACACTTATACATGAGACAGGTTCTCAGCATTTATGTGTTTTTAGTAAATAATAAAAATTATAATGCAATACTATTATTAGTTTTTTGAAAACAGAAAAAACTAGATTTTTAAGAAATTTTAGTGATTTTTTTAATGCTAGATCTTGCTGATCCCACCGATTCTCTGATCCGGATTGCCGATCCACTGATCCGACATGGTTTTTGTGGTGGCCGATCCGAGTCACCGATCCTTTTTTTTAAACCTTGGTTGTAATAGACCAAATTTTCTATAGCACTCGACTTTCCTTAGTAGACCATCACTAATTTCATGTCACTTGATTGGAACCTCATGTCGTGAAAACCATTGTGAATCTTTTTCCACTGCTGCACTTAGAAGGATAGCCTGAATCTATTTCTGTTGTGTGTTAACACTGACAAATAGTTTCGGCTCTTTACCATTGGAAACCTTGAGTAGAACACTGATATAGTTTCAGGCTTTATTTGAACCTTTGATGACATGTTTTCGTCACTATCAGTGTGTTCCATGTACCTTTTTCTAATCTGATTTTAGTTTAGTGAGTTACTGTGATATGACTGTAGTGCTGATACCGTTATTTGGCAAGTCATTTCTAATGCTGATTGAAGCACATTTTCCTCTTTTTTGCCTCAAAATCCCATGGACCTGACTTAATCTGCAAGCAGCTGAACCGCCAATTCCTTTTTTAAGTGCCTCTAATCATTCATGCTAAGCGTTCTGAAGTTTTACTTTATTACTCAATGAGTGTCATCTGTCAAATGGAGTTCTAGGTTTAGTGATATCTAGAGAGAAAAGGATGCTTCTTTTTTTTTAGTTTTTGTCATTTGCAACATCTGAAAAAATAATTTCATCTGCAACATCTGAAAAAATAATTGCCTGATTGGTTGATGGCTTATGGTTTATTGGTGGAAGGCTCTTGCCAGGGGGTGATTGCACTCAACATGGAGGATGGTACTCTACATCGATTCCGTGCTTGTTCCACAATTTTAGCGACAGGGGTAGTTATAATTATCATTTCTTTTTCTTCATAATTCTCTTTTGTTCTGTTTAAAATAATCATTTCCTTTTTAATCACATATGACGCTGTAATATTGTTAATCATGTGATAGTGATTGAATGCATGTTCTTAATGGCTGCATTTAATGCCACATCATGCTTGATTTGATTTATCAGGGTTATGGGAGAGCTTACTTCTCTGCAACATCAGCTCATACATGCACTGGTGATGGCAATGCAATGGTGTCACGAGCTGGACATGGACTAGAGGTTTGTTTGTGGTGATGGTTATACCATGCAAAGTCTGGTTATGAAAGGCCTCTAGCATTCACAAGATTTTACGTGATTTTCTTGATGCTATTGTCCCCATGCAGGATCTTGAATTTGTGCAGTTCCATCCAACAGGGATCTATGGTGCTGGTTGTCTCATTACTGAAGGTTTAGTTCTGTACTAATGCTGCTTCTGGTCCATTTATTCTTTGTGCTGAATTTTGTTTGAACTAGAAGATGCCATCTGATTGCATAACATGGTTGTTTTGACTTTGTTTGTTTTTTGTTAATATACCTTACAGGATCACGCGGAGAAGGTGGTATACTTAGGAATAGTGAAGGAGAAAGATTTATGGAAAGATATGCCCCAACTGCCAAAGATCTTGCATCCAGGGATGTTGTTTCAAGATCCATGACCATGGAGATTCGTGAAGGTCGTGGTATAGGTATGTCATCAGTCTTTTCCATTCCTTTGACAGTCATTGCTTTAATGCCCTCTTTTTTTTATGATAAGTGTCTTAAGACACTGAATTCGCCAGTTCTAGTTGAGTTCAGTCCCTTTTGCTGTTAGGGGTTAAGCATTGAAATAATATTCTACTCATGTTTGAACCTGAGGGTGCTAGCGTATATGTATTCTTAGTTGTCTAGTGGTGGAGGTTTGATTTGCTGCTTTGATTTTTTTGTGTGTGGAATTCATGGTTGTAATCTTTGGCTTCTTACACCTTACATACTACAGGACCTCTGAAGGACCACATCTATCTCCACTTGAATCACCTTCCACCAGATGTACTTAAGGAAAGACTTCCTGGTATATCAGAAACTGCTGCTATCTTTGCAGGAGTTGATGTTACCAAGGAGCCAATCCCTGTGATACCCACTGTTCATTATAATATGGGTGGCATCCCAACAAATTACCATGGAGAGGTATAATAAGGCACTACAGATGGTTTGATGTGCTGTAATTCCTTCGTGCCGGTTTGTTGGTGTTCTCTTTTTTGATCTCTGCCTTAGCAAATTGGTCCCTCTGCTTCATAGGTGGTGGATATTAAGGGAGACGACCCCAATGCTGTAGTTCCTGGACTTATGGCAGCTGGTGAAGCAGCTTGTGCATCAGTGCATGGTGCTAACAGGCTTGGTGCCAATTCCCTTCTGGATATTGTTGTATTCGGCCGAGCTTGTGCCAATAGGGTCGCGGAGATATATAAGCCAGGCAAGATTAGTTTCTTGTTGAAGATTGGTGTTGCCAAAACTTGGATTTGTGCGGTTACTGATCAATGACAAAATCCTCTTGATTTTCTGTAGGTGAGAAGCAAAAGCCTTTACCCAGTGATGCTGGACAGAAGACTATTGCTTGGTTAGACAAGCTAAGGAACTCTAATGGTTCCTTGCCTACTTCAAAGATTCGTCTCAATATGCAGCGGGTGATGCAGACCCACGCTGCAGTTTTTCGCACCCAGGAAACATTGGAAGAGGGTATGAATGTTATGTCCTCTTATAGGCTGGCATGCTGTTTCTTACAACTTTATTTGACTTTGGACAATTCATCCAAGATTGCATAAAACTTCTTTATTTTTTAACTTCCCCTATTTTCCAGGGTGTACTTTGATTGATAAAGCATGGGAGAGTTTCCATGATGTTAAGCTGCATGACAGGAGCCTGATATGGTATTAAAGCTGCATGGAATTCACTATCAAGTTTCGCTTTTGATTAAAAGATATCAAATGCTGTCCAATATAATTTTAGTGCATGATCTGATTTAAAATTCTCTATTGCAGGAACTCTGACTTGATAGAAACTATTGAACTAGAAAACCTTTTGATAAATGCATGTATAACAATGCACTCTGCCGAGGCTAGGAAGGAGAGCAGGGGTGCACATGCCCGTGAAGATTTCCCGGTAACATATTCTAGATGTTTCAACCAAGTGTTGGCTTTCAATAAGCTTCCCTTTCTTATACTTTTATGACATTTCTATAATTCTTATGATTGTTCTTGCAGATGAGAGATGATGAAAACTGGATGAAGCATACATTGGGGTTAGTCTCTCTCTCTCTCTCTCTCTCTCTCTCTCTCTCTCTCTCTCTCGTGTCCATGGATGTGGATTTGAGCTATAATGATGCTATTTCCTCGCTTGGGATTTTACTCATGAGTAAAGCTAAGGACTACTCATTATTTCAGGGCTTAGTGTGTTGCTTTATGTCTTGTAATTCTAGGGTCTTCTTACATTCAATGTGGATTTGACATTTGAAAGTTTTAAGATCTCATTGTTTTATGTTGTAGAGTTTTGTAGTTCTTTCTGGATTATGGAGCTTTGGGTAATCATATGAAGTTTGCATGTAGGGTTTGCTTTCAGGGTTTATCTCTATTTATTGTCTTTTTGGATAATTTTTTCAATGTTAAGCTTTTAGGTTGAGTGTTTATAATTAGGTTCTCAATAGAGTGGTTTGAGCAAAAATTGTTCTCTTGAAAAAATGCTAGTATATCTGTACTCTAATTATGGTGACTGTCTATCATTCTTGTATTACTTTTTATGTTGTTATAATGGTTGTGAGACAAACATTGGAGAGGCTACAATGGAACTAGGACCAAAATCCTCTCTTTGCCCGTTAGAGAGGGTTTTATGGTCTTTAATCCCTTCCCAAACCTCCTGCCATAGATTCCTTCTTTTTCTTTCTTTTTTATTTGTGTGTGTGTGTGTGTATGGAGGAGGAAAAAGAAGAAGGGAATGTGGAGGGAGAGTGGTGTAAGTGGTTGTTTTCTTTGCAAAATAGTTCAATATGAAAAAAAGCAAGCCGTCTGTTTTTCAGAAAATGTTTTGACAGGCCCTGGGTACCTGCAGCTAAGTCCAGTATATGGGTACCTGGATCAAAATAATCATGGTTTTTCTCTAATGGGTGGCTGAAACAACTTTCTGTGCAATACATGTATGCTGCAAAGCATTTGTTTGTTCTCTTCTGTCACTCATTAGATGTAATTCTTATAGCTTTATCAATACGAGTAGGCTTGTGCATCTCTTGCTTAACTATGTTCTCTTGAAACTCCTTTTTCTTTTGGTGAATGGGTCATATTTTTCTTAATTGGCTTGCAGGTACTGGGAAAATGGGAAGGTCGGGCTAGCATACAGACCTGTTCACATGTACACATTGGATGAAGAAGTCGAACCATTCCCTCCGAAAGCACGTGTATATTGAGTGCCTCAATCGTTTGTATGTCTCGGAGAATCAACCGATTGTGTTTAGCTGTTCAAAATAAAGTGACAATCAGCAGTCTCGCAGCAGTAGGTGCTTGCTTGCTTCAAAATGATGAGGCATTTGTGTACGATTGAACTATTCAGATTTATTTGTTCTGGATAATAATAATTGAAATTAGAAGTGGGTTTTTTTATTTACATTCCCACATCTCTCCACATTTTCTGGCTAACTTGCACACTAATGTTGTTCCTTATGATGTGCTATATTTGAAGCGTTATTCTTTTATTTTCAACGACACATTTATATGTTGAGATTTACAAATAAAAAGATATATATATTCTGATAGGAAAAGTTCTGGATGCCAATACCAAAACAGCACTTATAAAGAAACTATTTTGGAAACAAGAAAGGATAAATACATAATTTCTATGTATGTACAGTTTCTTGATCCCATTATTCGCATACATAATCCTCTCTTTCTTCTTTGTCCGTATATAAAGTAGCTATTGTAGTCATCATACTGCAGTAGTAATTCTTCGTGCTAACACTCTACAAAACCACTTCGACTTGGATTCTTATAGAAGGTATTGTGTTACCACTTTGGTTATTGGATAATTATGTCTCCAAGGATCTCTTGTACGAGGCCATCTAGTATATGCTTCTGTACTTCCCTCAAAAGTTCATCCTTTTCCTGTTCTGCAAACAAAGTATCCTCCCACCCCAGTCCCCACATGCTATTGACATCAGGATGCTTGTTTTTAACATCTCTCTGTACCATTTTATGCAAATAATCAGCGGTGTTGTAATTATCAGCACCATCATCACCGTGGAATTTCAGATGCTCAAGGTCTTTGTACAATTCCTTGACCAATTCATCCAAGCATGTCACCTTTACTAGAACAGCTTTAGTTTTACAAGAAGGGTATATCTCGAGTTCTTTTATTCTGCTCTTCCTTCTCATTATTTCACATGCACAATCTGCCATCAACTTGTTCTCTTCATCTGCGGATTTGAGAGAGGTTGCATGAAGAAAACCAACAGGAATCAGGAGGTTAAACAGTGCAACTGCTGCATTGAGAAATTTTGGACTGTTGATCAGCAAGAGCTTCAAGTGGTTCTCCTGGTCTGTGAGTGTTGAAGTTACTTTCATTTTCCTGCTGTCGCTTCTGGATGTGGGATTTATTTGATGCTGGTCTGGTTGTGAAATAATGTTAGAGTAGCTTTGTTCTCCATGTAAGGGACCTGAAATATGGAAAATTACGTTAGGTGGCTTCACTGCATACATATTTTACGTAGTATTTTTTGTCTCTCAAGTGCATGGTGGCAGATCATGGAGACCTTTTAATTGGGTTGGCTGGTGAGTACATGCCATGCAAATCCACCGATGTGCACTTAGGCTGTTGATTTTTGTATGAAAATTTAGCAAATAACAAGCAGTTACTTTTATAAAGGAGAGTGGAACAATTGACAATGACAAGCAGTTAGTCTACTATCAAGTCTTGAACAATTGAGACTAAGTCTAGCTGGGGATGAAAGACCATGTTTTGGCTGACTTTTTGTACCTCTGAATTGAATTTCTCCGGTGTTGAAGGTATCTCCAAAGCTGCTTTCCTTCATTGCCAGCAATGGCGGTTGTATATAGGACTTGTTTTCTATGTCCATGCCATGATCCTGTGTAACAATGAAAAAGTTGAAAAGGAACAGTATTAGAAGAGCATCAGGGATGGCATTATGCCCAGATTTTGTGTGATTCTAGATACAAGGGCACCCAGAATGATCAGAATAACATGCACTGTTGGTGTCTTTTGAAAGCTCAAGTTTCGTAGCTTCATCTTGAAAAGCAGCAGAATTTGAGTTAATTATTGTTCAGAGAAAATGCTTCATTCTTTCAATATTCTGAAGTTTTTTTTTTGGCTTTTAGGCACATGAAGGGAAGTTACCTCTAGTGTTACAGTTGTGGGCCGAACTGGTTCTTGTGGGCTCTTGTGTTCATCTTCAACAAGGGGAGCTGAATTGAATTTATTATTATCTTTTCCTGGTAATTGTTCTTCCAGTTCCATTGGTTTACTAGTCACTAACTCGTTTCTTGACTTCCTAATTCTCTCATTCCTTTTCTTTTTCAGTTCCTGTGACAGGTTCTCTGGCTTTAGTGGCCTTGCTTCTATGGATCGAAGTGTGGCTTTCTGAGGCCTTGATTCCTCTTGTTTCTTGGACTCCACTCCCTTCTTTAGTTTTACTTCTTGGGTTCCTCCCTTGACTTGTGCAGATGGCATAAGAACTTGCTCAGTGACGACTGTTGGCTGAACAGGCCATGTAGTTTTCTCAGTGTCGCTTCTGAGCAAGGCAGCTATGGAGTTCTTGTGTTCGACATGATCATTACTCTTCTGAGGTCCTCTAATCTGCATTTTATGAGCTCCCTTTGAACTTTTATGGGCCTCTGAATTTTGGTTAGCCAGCCTAGTATTTTGTGTCTCAGAGTTTGTGGCTGGTTCTGATAAGCTCCTTGGCATCAACATACTTTCCTTTAAAACTTTCTTTTCATTCTGGTCAGGTTTGTTTTCTTTTTCCTCTGACTTTCTCTCTTCTGTGACTCGATATGTGTTTAGATCTTTCTTCTTTGGCTCATTTTTGAGGACCATTTTCTCAGGATCCCTTTGTATCAATAAGTTGGCCTTGTGTATGTTTTGAAAATCCTTGTCCAGAGTTAATCCGTCATTTTTCACGACTTCTCTTTCATGGGAGTTCTTGTCTGTTGATACAGTTCCTGACCTTGTATCTTGGGACACTGCAATCTTCTTCATGGATTCCACATTCTTCTGCAAGTCAGTGCATAAAACTGGCTTGCTGTCCTTATTTCTGGCATTTTCTTTTTCCCTCTGGTTCGAAGTTCTCTCTCCATTCCCAGTTTCTTGCTTGGGGTGTGGATCTTTTTGCTGCTCCCTCTTTTTCAGCTCATTCATCTCATACTTCTGCAAATCAATCTCTAAAATGGGTTTGTTATCTCTATTTCTGCCATTTTCTTGTTGCCTATGGTTTGAAATTCTCTCTCTATCCTGTGTTTCTTGTTTTGGGTCTCTGTTTCTCTGTACCCCATTGTTCTTTAGCTCAGGTACCACATTCTTCTGCAAATCTATCTCTAGAATGGTTTTGTTTCCTGTGTTTTCCTGTTGCTTCTGGTTCATATTTTTCTCTCTATCTTCTGCTTCATGCCTGGGATCTGGACCTTTCTGTCCACCACTGTTCTTCATCTGTGATGCCATGTTCTTGAATGAATTAAATGCTAAATTGGTTTTGTCATCCTTGTTGCTTGAAACTTCTTGTTGCTTCTGGTTAAACTTTCTTCCTCTATCATCAGTTTCATGCTTTGGGTCTGGACCCCTTTGCCCCCAACTGTTCTTCAGTTGTGGTACTACATTCTTCTGCAAATTCGTATCTAAAATGGGTTTGATATCGATGTCTTTTGTATTTCCTTGTCGCTTTTGGTTTGAGTTTCTCTCTCTACCGCCAGACTCATGCCTGGGCTCTTGAGCTCGCAGCCCCCCACTTTTGTTTGCCTCCATTTGCAGAGGAACTTCTTCAAGACCCATTAGTTTTGCAATTACATTAGGAATCCTTGCTGTCTTATTTTCAGGAGTTCTCTGTTTATCATCCTTGGTTTTATTTCCATTGGGAGTAAAATAATTGCCACAACCCTCTGAAATGTTGGCGTCTTTTGAAACCAAGAGCTCCTTGAAACTAGAGGCATTGCTTCTCTCACTTGAAAGCTCACGCACTGCCTTTGAATCTAGAGTAGAACTCATGGACCGGCGGTGTGATGGTTTGTGAGAAGAGGAAGGAGTTTGGGCTTTATGATCAGAAACCAATACCCTTGAACTTGTGGAGGGTAGGGTGAGGAGCTTTTGTTTAGTGAGATTGCTTGCAATAATCTCCCGGAGATCTGAAGGAGGGTTTCCTGAGGAACCATCAAAGGAAAATCTAGGACCCTCATGTTGTGATTTTCGGGAGTATGCTTCAATGGCTTTTGTTTTTGTTTCTCTCTCCTTATTCTCTTTGAATCCACTGCCCTTCCTCTGCTTGGAAACCACTTTCGTTTCCCTGTCTTCCTCCTCAATGAGTCGAATATCATTTCTGTGTGTGTGAGCCACTTGTTTCGAGGCCTCTTGTAGCTTCACAAGCATTCTCAATGATGCTTCCAAATCCATAGCCCCTCTCAATAGGTCCCTTCCAACATTTATAGAGATCCCATCTAATTCAAATCCATTATTATTGCAGGCTTTAAGAATTTGGTTAAGTTTTTGTGCACCTTTAGCGATCTCATTAATCTGCAAGAAAGATGGGCCATAGTAATGGGAGTTTTGGTCACTGTTTTTCTTTCCTAAATCAAGAGATCTCCCCCTCGAATGATGGGTTATAGCCTTCTTATTATCCATCAATTTAGCAGGTAGAACATGGTTTAATTCTTTGCCAGTGGCTGCTGCAAATGCTAGAGCCATTGAGAGGTTGGAGATGGATTTGAAGTTGTTCGGGTTCTCATATAATACAATTTCTTCAGAGGCTTTGGATGGGAGATCAAGCAACCTGTGAATTGCACTGTTGGGCCTTGGCTTTGGGGGATTCTGCATTTGAGAGAAGATTTTAGAGAGAGAATTTTCAGCTGAGAGAACTTGGAAACATTCTTCTGGGAAGGGGACTTGGGAGGGGCAAGGGACTTACAGTTTTATACAATTTTCCTTCTTTGGATCCATGAGATAATCTTTTGAAATACTCATACTGGTCTAATCACAATAGAAAATAGGAGAATTAGATCAAGTTGTAATTCAATTGTGTTTTCTCTATACTCAAGACTTTTCTTAAGCACGGTTGTAACCTGACCTTGATTGGGGTGTGTGTGTGTGAGAGAGAGAGAGAGATTTGATTGATAAAATTTCACTTGAGAAATAGTTAGCACTTCAATGGAAGAGTGTGTGCATGCGCACCCTTCTGTTTCTATCTCAACTTAACCAATTGCAGAGCCAAGTGAAATGGACCAGAGAGAGATTGTGCGTGCATGTGTTACAGAGAGAGGGAGTGTGTCTCCACCGTTCTAGTCCTATCTCAACCGATGGTAGGGAAGAGAGAGAGAGAGAGAGATTCTAACTCACCTAGTGGAGTGACCTGTTTCGAGTTGTCCGGCGCACTCTGAGCCATGGCCAAGAGCTCCTTCCTCAGGCGGAGATCATCCAACAATTTCTGTGTGAAATCGGATTTCTTCGCCATGATTCCAAAATCTCTATGAAGCTTTTGCTTCTTATCATACAAATCCAAAATCCAAGAAATGCACGGATTGCGATTCTCTTCTGAGATACTTACATAAAGTTGATGGTTTTCCTATTCCATTTTTTAGCTAAATGGGAAACGTGTATTTTTCTTCTTGTCTTCTTATAATGTTAAGGGTATTGCAGTTGGTTGGTATGGGGTTTTAACTTGGGTTTGTGTGAGGTGAGGAGTCTTGGTCAGGAGAGAGAGAGGCTGTGAATGTTTGACGTGAACGTTAGCTCTTGGGAGCAGGGGAATGAGTGAGAAAGCCGACTTTCACCTCAATTCAAGCAAAGTACAAAGGCCTTCTTCCTTAAGCCTTTCCCTTTTGCAGCCTTATATCCACGAGGTTCCTGTTGTTTTCCTCATTGTATCTTGCTCTGGCAGGAGCATTTACCCTCTTGGGCAAGTGAGGATTTTTTTCTTGATCTTTAAATTCGGGATCCACTTTAGAATCACTACACGGTATTTAACAATTTTAAGTCATAATTGTTTTTATGCAGTTTCTTTTTGGGCAGATCCAAGAAGTATCCAAAATTTTCCAGATTAGTTGATAGGTTGAGGTGGTCGCATTCCAAAACTTGGGGTCCTAAAATTATTTAGAACTAGGGTTTCTCTTAGAGAGAAAATGTGTATTTTGCTTGTTCAGGAGTGTATGGTCTTTTTGGTTTAAACTAGTGTTAGAAAGTGCAATCCGGATTGAGTAATCGCTTTGGGCCAGAGCCGATTACTTGGGTTGAGTTCGAGTAACTTGGTCCGATTAGTGTCGAGTGCGGTAGCAGCAAAAAAAATTATAAAAAATAGAAAATGTATGTTTAAAAGTAAGATTAAGCAAAATCACTCCAAAATGATATTAAAGTAGTAAAAAACTAGATTAAAAAAAAAAACTTGTTAATAAAAAAAAGATGGGAAAATATAAAAATGAGTACTTATGGTGAAAAAACTTCTTTTTAATCTTCACCAAAATGATATAAAACATAAAAAAATATATCCCAAAAAATTTTCTTATTTTTAGGATTTTTTATTTTTTTTTGAATTTTTTTTAATACTCCCGAGTTGGACACCCAACTCGGTCTCGGCCAAGGCCCGAGGCCGAGTAACTCGGTCGAGTAGAAACTCAGCCAATTTTTAAAACATTACTCGGCCGATTTTTGTGTTTCAATACACGAATTTATTTATGTGATACATAGACCAATAGTATATCTGTATTGTGAACTTTGGAGCTAAACTCCGTCTATTATCGGCAGACGCCCCTATCATGTATTTGTACCATGGCATTAGGATGATTGGCCTTGCCCCATTTTGACAATTCTTGGGCTTCATATAGGCATGCCGGCAGGTCTCGGGCGTGGAGTCTTGGCCTGGATTGACAATTGGGCTTCTCCCAAGCCTGACCCTTGAGGCCCGGTTAGCCTCCAGGGTCATGGTTTATTTTTAAGGCACTTGGATGGTGGTCTTGCGTAACCGAATTATACATTTAGTCCCATGGGCAAAACACAAACAAGGGGAATTTTTCCATGGATTCAAGAGAAGAAAGAATAGGAACATGATTTTTATTAGAATGAATATTCAGCTTTAGAATGTGATAGATTGGAGCAATGTCAACAGCTTCATCTTGGATTATTTGTTTCTAAGTAGTTGGATCTCTCACCAACCTAGTTTTGGCATCTGGTCGATACCAACAAAAAACATTTCTGAAAAAGGTCCCAGCACCAGCCATACGTTCAAATCATGTTAATTCTCCCATTGATCAAAATGCAATTTTGTGAAAACATAATTGCTTTTGAGAAAGATGGCCATCAAGGTGGATGGTCCAGATCATCTTTGACAGAGATTTGAATTGAGCCCATTTATAAGCCTCCAAATCTTTTTTTTTTTTGCCCTTTAGAAATTGACTATGTGAGTACGACATAGATGATTTGATGGTTCAGTATCTAAGCTCACCTATTTAATGTACATAAAGAGTATTGGATGTTGTGACACCTTATTCTATCGGATTTCACATTTAATGGCTAAGAGTGGTTGTAACCTCCTTACGTTAAAAGGGAATATGTCTTATAGTATACAATCCCAATTCTAAAAAAAAAAGTTTATATAAGGTTGCAACCCTAAAATGTTGAATTAAGGTGCACATAAAAAATTCATCATAAAATGTTGTTTCGATATTGGAAAACCATCCGATTGAAGAGAAAAAAAACATGTATGAATATGAAAAGAAAAAAAGATTTTGAGTCTTAAAAATAGTGTACCTTACAATGCATTATCTAGATCGTCCATTTTCAAGATTTTCAACTGTTCATACATCTACTTGATTTGAACCATTTTTGGAGTTTAAATTTTTTTAATTAGAAATGATTAAGAATTTTTTACATTAAAATTATACTTATGATAAAATTTGGAGGAGCGCCTTGGCTTGATTTTGCATAGCTTTGGCATTCCAAAGTTATCCTTAGTGCGACCTTTGATTTGTCAAGTGGTTACATTTGGTTGGGAAGTGCATCAAAACATTCCTTGCCACAATAAGTGCCTTTTGTGTGTAGCCCATGAGGACGACTACTGCAACAAAATATCCTAAGTTCGAATCCTACCATTGAACTACTTAAAACAAGATTTCGTGCCTGAGTTAAAGCATAACAATTACCTGAATCTGCATTTGAAACCACGACAGATCCAAGCTCTGCAACATGACAACAGGTCCGGCTCAGGCTTGCCGAGCCCACCTGAGGCTCAAGCTGGCTCGGGTCTACCCTCTGGCCCACCAGTTTAGATCATGGAAAGTTGTAATGTATCGAAGTGGCATGTCCTATATCATATAGGATGGAGTATCCAGTTATGTTTCCGGGATTGTAGATATTAACCATAGCTTCCAGTTACATGATACGGATGATCTCCACCATCCACCCTCATGATCCAATGGTGGATGTTGACACGGTGGTCTACCGCATACCAAACACGACTTGTGTATAGCATACTTCCCCATAGATTTTGTAAGACTAAGGATGGCAATGGGCCGGGTGACCTAAAAAAATTGCACACCCACTCGCAAAGTGCCTAAAAGAATCCCCCTAGGGATGATCCGAACTTTGGAAGGGCAGATCTAGTTGTCTAAAAACTCAAAATGCTTTTTTCTACAATTTACTCGTCTTGTGATTGTGATTGTGATTTCAAATTGGATCCCAAAATCACAAATCAAGGAGTGGGTCTTTACCAAATTGAACAAATGCACAAATTGCTCAAGTAGGAGCATAATACACATGTTCCTTATTGACTCCACCTTATATAAAATGGGATTGTATACTATAAGACCGGTTTTGAAAAAAAAAACCACAAGTGCCTGTAGCAGTCATATTTGAAATCAGTAGTTGAGGTGTGTCACAAACTTTTGTGATATGTTTTTCAAACCCGATCAATAGCACACGCCTTCGATTTCACATCTAATGGCCAGGAGTGAATTGACGATTGACAGTCTTATTGTGGCCTTTGTCTTATGAAATAGCCAATGTTGGGTGCATTTTCTACACAAGCCGGGTTCTAAAGGAGATGATGCGAACATGCTAGAGCATTAAACCTGCAGAAATGGAGGAAGATAATAGTATTAAGAATATTCAGTGGTCCATCGAAACAGCACCTAAACAAACAAGCAAACACTACCCAGCAAATAAAATTTTGGGCAACCAAACAAACTAGGGGACGGAAAGTAAAAGACAAAGTTTCTAAAATTAATATGAAAAAAAAATTGTAAAATATTTTGATGAGAAGTTTTTTAATCTCATATCCAAAATGGCCATAAAATAGATAAAATCCGTAATATACAATAAATTTAGATGTTTTTGCCTTATGCATGGCGCTTTGGTATTTCTTAAATTCCATAAAAAAAATATTAATAGATGGATCATGCAGGAGATAAAATCAAGTTCGAAAATAGGATATAGGAAGTACAAAAACATATTAGAATGGAGAGAGAGAGAGAGAGAGAGAGAGAGGTGGGGGAGGGGCCTGGCTTCTAGGATTTAGGTAGGGGCCACTAGGGTCTTGGACCGGGCCAGGACCAACCTAGCCCAGCACATTGCAGTCTCTCCCCCTCTCTCTCTCTCACCCACACACACTAAGTTTGATCTTTTTCTCTCTCTAAGCATGCAAATGGAAAATATGAAGCACCCTCTGAAACCATAGTATTCCTTATGCATTATAAGTGGGACATCCATATCATAGTGGTGACCTCCCACCATTTCTACAAAGAGGAAACACAAGTAATCTTTTTTTCACACGCATGTTACAAAATAAGGCAGCTGCAAGTTTTAGGGAACCTCATGTTCTCCCTTTTGCCTAGTTCATTGCTCTTTGAGAGACATTATGTCGTATGGCATGAAAAAATAGAGTGGTAGTGCTTATAGAAAACCAATTTTACTAAATTAGGCCAGGCCAAATTGAACCTTGATTCCAAGAGAAGATATTCGCTAAATTAAATGAACCTAGGGGAGGCAGTGGGCCCGGACCTGACCTGGACCTGATGACATCACCCAATCTGGGTTCGGGTATGGGTCCAAAAATTGGACTTGGCAAATCGGGTTTGGGTATGGGTCCATGTGGACCATACCCGAATAGTGTTATTAATTATATAAGATATAGTATATACTATTTAAAATAGTATAAATATAACCATATATTTTTAGTTATAATATTTAAATAAGGAAAAAGTTTATATAGAGCCGAGACTCTAAACAATCAAATTAGAGCCCACCTCAAAAATTTCACTAGAAGAAGTTGTTTTGATGTCCAAATACCCTCAAATTGATTATCAAGATGCATAAACATGAGAAAAAAATAGATTTCTAATTTTGGAAATAATGCATCTTGTAACGTATTTTTTTACTGTCACTTTTCAATATTTTTAAGTTTTCGTAGATCTGCTTGATCTATACTATTTTTGAAGCTTTAGATTTATAATTAAAGATGAAAATATATTTTAAGGCTATTACAAAGATTTCCGATATTGAAACCACATTTTTCAACATTATTTGAAGGCACGCTTTATTTTAATTGTTTACGAGCCTCACTAAGATGTACACACGCTTCAAATTTCAAGTAATTTGGATTTGTAGAAAA